TGTATATTAATTGTATACATATACATTTTATTGTTACGTTCCTCAATGAATACTAACAGTAATGATGATTTCGAAGTTGAAGATAGATGAATATCACTTGTGACAATGTTAATAGTAACTATGTATTTTTTGCACTAAATCATATAAAAATTATATTGGAAGAAAATTATTTAAGTTATTGTATTATAAAATAATAAAAAAAAAGAAAACAAAAATATATCAGATTTACATATAATAATCCGCAAAAAATGCACTTCTAATACATGATATGATGCTTGTAATTAATTGTAATGCATTTCTGTTTCTGTACAGCTAATATTGTAGCAGCTGCTCAATTGCGATTGTAAAATTTATCAATAATTTTTCAATAATTTTTTTCTAAGCAAATAAAAAGCAGAATAAAGAAAACTACGAAATGCGTAAACAAAAGAAAAGATAGTTGATAATAAATAGAATAAAATGAATGTTTTACGATTTTAATCGATTATCTTATTTGACAACAATGTCATATATTTTAATTTCTGTTAATACATTTATGTTAATATTATTTTATTTTTAAGAATTCAAATTACATTTAATATTATAAATTGTTATTAAAATATTAATTCATGTAAAAATATAAATTTAAACTATGTAGTAATACTAAATATAAAATCGAATAGGAATATATTACAAGAAAAATTTATTCTTGAAAACTTTTACACTTGTATATAATTAAATTGATTTAAAAAAAAAAAATACAAAAAATATAAGTAGGCCAAGAAACAAAGAACTAAATATTTTTTTATCTATCTTTCCAAATTAGTAATTCAAATTATTTGTTATTTATACAAATTTATATGTTTAAAAGATATTTTAAATTTAAAAAAAAATTATATTTTAGATTTAATAATTTAATAATTTATAAGAAAGTACATTTGCTATATTAATTAAAATATGTTAGATAAATGTAATATTTAAACAATATCAAAAATTGTAAAATATGATTTTTTATTATTTAATTCCAAAATATTTTTTATTATATAATTTACAAAACATATAGTAGGAGTTTATATAATATGATATAGAAGAAATTAATGAAATTTAAATGTAAACAATGATTTGAAATAATTTTTTTGAAAAAGATTTTTTAAACAAAATTTTTCATGTTACATAATTAATATTATTTTTGAAATTATTAATTTTTATATATTTTCTTTAATTAATAGTAAACTCAAATAATAATATATTCAAAATTAAAATAGAATTTTAATTATTGAATATTTAATTTTTAATTTTTGTAATGAAATAATTTCTTGTTTAATGTTAAAATAGTTAATTTACTTTAACTTATCATCAATTAATATAATCTATATTTGCAATTTAATAATTACATATGAGTGTTAATATTGTATATTTTATTCATATCACTACTATTTGATTGTAGTTATAATATGTTAGTTATAATATTTGATATTAAAATAAAAATTATCATAATCATTATAATTATATAATATTATAATATTTATTATTAATATTATTATATAATGTTATATTTATAATTATCATTCCTTACAGATTATTAAACATTATATTATAATATAATTACTGTTATTAGAACAAATTTTTACTATATTTTTGAAAAATATATAAGATATATATATATATATATATAAAGATATATAATGTAAATATTTTTCATCAAATTTTGTAATTCAATATTATTTTATTATTACTTATTTTTTTATACATTCCTGTCAAATATTTTAAATTCATTCAACTTTTAATTTTAAAAATTTGTTAAAAAAAAATATAAAAATTTATTTTAATGAAATATTTTTTACTTTTACACTATTATTTTTTTTTCTTTTTCATTTATCTTCTAATAGTTATTATAATAAATGAAAGGAAAAATTATAAAATGTTAATATATTTGTGAAACATATTTGAAAAATTGATTTTAGAAACCAAAAGAAACACAAAAATTAGTATATAAAAATATCAGAAGTTTATTTTTTTAGTTATAAACAATTTAAGTTAAATGAAGAATCAAATAAAATTGTCTTATTTTATTATGTATCTCATTTTTACTTACATTTATATTTATCTCATTTTTATTTATATTTATTTCATTTTTATTTATTTGTCTCATTTCATTTAATTTCAATTGATTATAATTTAATAAATCAATTTTATAAATCAGTTTTTATATTTGTTTTGGAATAAAATTATGCTTTAAAAATATCTCGCAAATATATTAATATTTTGTGATAACATTTAATTTTTTTAAGTTTTTTTATTACAATTTTTTTATAATTTTTAAATTTTTTATAATTTTTTTATTAAGAAGCCAATAAGTTCGAAAATAATAATAATAATATAAAAAAATAAAAAAAAATACTATATATGAATAAGATTAATATATATATCATAATAAAAATTAATTCATAAAAAATATGAAAGAATGAAAATTATAGCCAATGAATGTTTATTACAAAATAAGTGTCTTAATTTCTTTAAATAAGTTGTTAAATTTTTATATTTTAATCTTTTTATATGACTATTTTATATTTGAAATGAATATTAATAATTTATAATATTGATTTAATTATGAAATAATAATTATATCTTAAAAATTTCGTAAGGAATGTTATATTAATTTTCTGATTATTATAATTATTTGACAAATTTTCATTAGAAAATAAGTAAAAAAATTAGAATATTATCAATAGACATTTACATTTTATATAATGTAATAAAAAAAAAAAATCTCGATAAAAGTAAGTTAATGGTACTTGATCAGTGAGAATATAATGTGTATACTGTAGTTTTATATATAATCGAAGAAAATATGAGAGTGAACTACTTACTTTCAAACAAGTGGTATTGCTATAGTAAAATTACAAAAGTTATTATTGTAAATTCTTATTAATTGAAAATTTAAAATAGAGTAAGTTGCATTGTGATGCAGTGAAACATTTCCAATTGAATAATTAAAAAGTGGAATTAAATTATCAAAAATATATTGATAGACGATTATAGCAGAAAATTTCTAGATCTGTAACATATTTTTAATAGGGAATATTCTGGTAGGAAGTCTAATTATATAATTTCATAACATCTGTTGTATTAAAATATTTTTATGTGCGGATTATAATCTTTTTTTTTATTTTCAAAAATATTAATGATTTTCATTTTTAAAAATGAATTGAAGAAAAGTATTTAAATGAATTACAAAAAAATGACATAATTATTTAAAATTTAATAATACTTATGTATATTCAATATTTTTATTATATTAGATATAATATTAGATATTATTTTTTTTAATTTTTTTATATAACAATAATTATTAAATAATTATATTTATTATATAATTGATTAAAAAAAAATTTTTATACATTTATATAAACTAATTTTTAAATGTTTCTAACTATTATAAATTAAATTAATTTTGATATTGAATTGAAATGAAAATATTTGAAATTACATTTGAAATTTACGCGCGTGTACATGATGGATATCAACAGAAATGTTGTTGATTTAAAACTTTTCAATTTTTAGGTTAGACAATACGATTACATATTATTAAATACATAGTTTTAACGAATATATTATATAAAATATAATAAATTTCTAGTTCATATACATATAATAAAGAATAAAAGTATTCATATATTTTAAAATAGGATAATTTTTTTATTGAATCAAATGATTTAAATTTTTTTGAAATGTTAGAAGAATTAGTTTGTTTACTAAATAATGTGTAAAAAAAATAAATTTAAATAATAATAATAAAAATTAAAATTAAATAATAATAATGTGTATTAAATTAATATAAATTAAATTGTTATTGTGTATATAGATGAAATTGTGAAGAAAAAAAGTAAAGATCATGATTTTTAATTTTTTTATTTGAATTTATTAATCTAAAACATGCCTTTTATAAATTTAAATTACAATCAGTAATTTTTTCAACAAAAATTTGTATACTTTAAAAAATTCAATTTTAATAAAAATTTCTATATATTTTAATAAAAATTTTAATAAAAATTTGTATATATAGAATATAATATATTATACATAATATATAATATACATAATAAAAATATAATTATTTTTTCCGAACATCTCTTCAATCAATTCAAATCAATTAAATTTATATATATTTTTTCATATTTTGCATAAAAATATTTCTTATAATAGTATAATAGAATATTAAAATCCAAATATTGTTCAAATATTTTAATATAATTCAAAATTTTGTTTTTGATTTTATTATAAAATTATATTTTCAAAAAATGAAATAATAAAATTTAAAAATAACTTTATAAAATAACTTTAAAAATTGATTTCATTTTCTTGAAGTGATATTTCATTTAAAAAAAATTGTTGCATATATAACATTATGGTCTATATACACAATATAAAACAAAAATATTGGTGATATATAATATTTTTGATAACATAAATTATTAATTGAATTTGCGTAAGATGTATAAAAATTTTTGTGACTGATTGTATATATACACATAAAGTTTCATCGAAATCGATAAATGCATAAAAAGCTAAAGATATCGAAAAATAATAAATTTTTTTAAATTTATTATAATTATAAGCTGAAAATCGTGAAAAATTGCGAATTTGAGAATTTTCGATCGTGTGTATAACTCATAATAATATTAATAGATTTTAATAAAATTTTGTGCATATAATTTTTTTAAATTTATAAAATTTATAAAAAAGTATAAAAATATAAAATTTTCATTATAGATTCAGATAAAAAAATTAAAAATTAAAAATCATAATTTTTATTTTTTTTTTCACAATTTCATCTAATAGCAATTTATAAATTTTTTTTTTATATATTTATTAAATTAATCTTTATTATTTATATTTAATATTTTAAAAAAATTCAAATCATTTGGTTTAATTTTTAAAAAATTATTTCATTTTAAAAAATGTATGAATATTTTTTTTCTCATTATATGTATTTCATGAGTTTTTATATGTGATTTAAGAAAATGGCTCTAATTATGACTATGAATTGGTCGAATATAAATCAACGTTGTTTTCGATTGGTTAAAAATTGGTTAATCACTCGAACAAAACATATAAAAGGTCATGCTATTCAAGAATACATATCAGAAGTCTTTCGCAGCGTTTCGAATCTCAACGTATATTTTTCAACCACCTGTTGCACATCAAAACTTGTAAGTGATTTTATAAATTATTTATTGTTAAAAATAATTTTTTTCATGTAGTTAATAGTAATAAAACAAATTCAACAAATTTTATATATATTTTTAGATAGGTCATATATTAATTTTTTTAATTTATTAGAATTATATTATATTGTTTAGAATTATTATATTATTGTTTATATATTTATGTATATTTATGTATATTTTTGTATTAATCTATATATAATTTTAATGTTTTTAATAATATAAACAATTTATATTTAATTTTTGTTATTTTATTATTCTGATAAATAATATAAATTATTTAATTAATTAATTAATACAATATGTGAAGTTTTAATATTTATATTTTAATTTTTAATATACAAGTAATTTTAATATATAAGTTTTTATATATCTTCTTTTCTTCTTTTTGATTAAAATAGAAATATATATTACGTATTAATTAAATTATAAGAAATTTTTAATTAAA